ACAAATTTAAATGTATCTGCATGGACCTAAGACTTCGCTTTGTTTCTGGGCTGAAAGCCTGCTTCAGCAGGGGCTGCATGGCGATGTCGGAAGTGAGGAGAGAGTGAGGCCACTGCTTTGAACATTTTTAGAGGGGACCTGGCTCAGGTAACTCCAGCTCTGATTGGCTGGGGAGTTTCGGCAGGTGGAAAAAAGCAGTGGAGAAAGGATGGTTGACAGCTGATGGCCGGCAGGGATTGAGCGAGTCTGTGGGTGGTCTGTGAGGGGGAACAGGTCTCTTGGCTGCTCGGAAGGGTGTGTGGCATTCTGGAACGGCGAGGAGAAAGCTAAAGCCCACATATTTAAAGCAACCTGACCCAAGTGAATAGTCAGTTTAAAACTGCCAGATCTGAGATCCTTTTAAGATGTATGTTTACAGTCAATTTGAATATGTACACACAGAAATGTTTTGCAAATATACCTACCAGAGCTTCAGAAACATTTTAGTTGTAATACAAATTTGTTTGTTATTAAAGATTCATGCAAATTAATCATACAAAGCCTTTGTAGACAATTCAAAAGGAACCAAAACAAAATATTGGCCCAGAGGTTGTGCACCATTCCTGTCTGTAAGCTTTAAAGAACAGAGCAGGGCCAGCTGGGTTCTGAGAGGAGATTCAACTGCAGTGTATGAGAATATAGGATAGTCCTCTCTTGGGATTGTGCCACCTCTCCTTTTCTTGAATTCCATGGCCAACAATTTATGTGAGAGTGTTATCAGTCAGTTCTAAATTCTGAGGATCCAAAAGTCAATGCAGCTCTCATGTCTGGGGTGATTTGTGCCTGTAAGCAGCAGAAAGGGGGTGAGTGGTAAATAAGGCACCCCTCATTTTCTTACCATAAAGTGGCCAAGGAAGCAGTTCATACAGCTTTGAGAAAGAATAATCTTTTATCTGAACCCAGAAATTCACGTGGGGGTATCAGAGGCTGTCCTATTGTTAAGGCAAAGAGCCCAAATATGCCCCAAATATGTGTGTGCGTGTGTGTGTGCGCGTGCGCATGCATGCGCCTTCCATGTCTGTAATTCACTTGAGAGAGAATGCTCCCACTTCATACTGCAAGTGTTCCTATGTGCATACGCCATGGTGCAAATCCAGCTCCCCACTCCAGCTATTTATTTTTCAAATTTTTCAAATTTCAAACTTGGCTGGGTGTTAAGTGATAAATGTCACATCCTGTTTGGCCCTCCTTGGGTATGGATCTGATCAGTCCCAAGGGTGGTAGCCCCATGTAATAGCACAAATAATTCAAGAATCGTCTTCTGTCTGGATGTTATGTTTTCTGTGATTTTGCACAGAATGTTGATAAGGGTCCTATTCAAGAGAAGTTTGGCTAGCTGAATGTAATGACAGAAAGCTGGGATATGAGTCCAACAACCCAACCGATGGACAAACAAGAGGCTGGGAACTGATAAAGAGAGAGGCAAGGATGAATTCTGGCCTACTGTTTGCTTATTCTTTTATATACACGATTTGAGAATACACTGGTCTGAAAATGCCCAACACAACAAAGTTTATGGGTCTAGAGTTGGCATTTATGCATCACCAGAGAGAGAGAGAGAGAGAAAGAGGAAATGTGGGCAACTGTTTGCACAAAATGTGTATATGCCAATTTATAGGTATGCATGCAAATTTAGAAATAATGTTTATACAGTGAAGGGAAAGGCAGTGCATTTAAACATAGCAGGGAAAACTGACCGGGTAACTTGTATGGTGTTCAGTCTGCTGTTGATGGACAGCTACGCACCTGTTGGTTCTGTGTCTTTAAATGAGATTTGGCTGGAACAGCCTCTCAAATAATATACTGTCTCCTCTACAGCAGGACACCTGGCTATCCTGCAGGGGTCTGGTCAGTGCTTGGATAGGAGACCCCAGGAATCCTAAGCATGCTTCCCCGGGTTCTCTCATGAAAGAAAAGTGGGTAGAGCTGCAACGGAAGAGATGCACAAGAACTTGGGTCTCCCGCCTGCTAAAAGAAGCTCAGGCCAGCCAGTTCTCTCCAAGCAGGCCATTGGCTATTATTTCTGTCCCCAGCAGTACTTTCCCAATTGTTATGCTTCATTCTGTGGCAACTGAATGTGCTCAATCCTCTTTGGACTATTGTTTTTCTTAAAGTTCCCCTTTAGGTTCTCTTTGTCCTTTTTTAATTGGTCCTTCTACATAACAGCACAAAGACACCAATGTAAAGGCACCAAGACATCACTTAGTCAAGGCCTTCCTCATTCCTGGCTTCCCCATTCTCATGACCTCCAAATGTGCTGAATCCTGCAGTTCCCATCATCCCCAGTCAGCATGGCCAGCCAGGAAGTGTCATAGCTCATCGGGGAGAAAAACCTGCATTGCATTCCAAAGGACCGAGATTCACTCTTTGCTGTCTCCAGAGAGGAAACAGAATCACCCTCATTTGCAACCTGGAAAGCTGCTGCCAGTCAGTGTAGGCAGTACTGAGCCAGAGGATATAAGGTGCTGCTTTCTGTTTGTGAAGACTAGAACAGACTGCACTATATCAGAATGGCAAACAGAGTTAACATTTTCTTACAGAAAACAACACAGCTGCAAACAGCGGCCCACCAGGGAGCGAGTGACACCAGAGCCTTCCTGCTACCCTTTCTTTTCCTCGAAGGATATTTTACATGGGAGAGCACTAAGAAAATGTGCTGTTACATTTCTTGTTTTGTTATCTGTCTTGATATCCATTTCAGATAAATATTGATTTAATGTTTTAAACAAGCAAAGTCAACATATTTGTCTTTGTAGTCAGGTATTATTGCTCATTTTGCTCTGTCCAAGATTGTTTCCCTAGCTTCATAGAGATCCTTTTAACTGGATGTACCAAGAGTAGAAACAGGACCAAAGTCTATGCCCTACCACAGAACTGCACTTCTTTCCCTTTGGGATTCTAAAGGCCTTGATCCAGACTTTGGAAAATCCTGAGCAATGATGGCTTGAGTCTGTTCTGCTAGGACCCTGGAGGCAGCGGGTAATCCTAGGTCTGAAAACAAGAGTTGGCTCACGTGTGCAAAGGAATATAAGAAGTAAGGAGACCCTGAGCAACTTAAAGCAACAACAACAACAGATATAATACAGGTCAGTTGCTTTTCCTCTAAACAATAGAACTAGAAGGGAAGAAACAAGTGGAAAGAAACAGAAGTGTGTATCATCGGATTTAGCAGTGGCAGAAGTTTCAGAAAAAAAGGATATGTTAGATTAAAGTGTGTGGTCCAGCAAACATCAGTTACAACCAGATCCTTCTAAATTTGTTGACTCAGAAGTAAGACCCCTTGATTTCAGTCAATCTTATGTGCAGAAATAATAGGCCAAAGATTGCAAACTTAGACATGTGACTGGAACATCTAGTATCTTGCCCTCCACAAACTTTCCAGCCGTTCCTGCCTTGGGAAAGTTGCAACCGCATACTCAGAGCCTCAGTTCCTGATCTGAAGTATTGGATTAACCATTGGTCTCCCAGGGAAGCTGGGAGGTAGCGTGAGTTATGGATTGCAAAAGCATTTAGGAGGCCACCTGGTGAGCTTAGGGAGGAAGAAGTCTAAAGATTTAAATGCAGCTTTCCCAGGCCTAAAATTATAATCCTAAACAGACCTTCCTGGAAACCAGTGAAGTCTATGGAACTGAATTTCCAAGCATATGTTGTCTGTAAACCATATTTTCTATCCCATACAGAATAATACTTTTCTAGATTTATCTTGACCGTTCTTTCTGGCTGATGTCTTTCATTGACTGCTTTGAATGTTCCCAATCCATCTGAGTGGATTCCTCTGCCCATAATTATCCTTCCAACATCTCCAAAGATGACACCAGCATTGATTAGGATGGAAACTGGAGAAGCAACCCAGTGTGTAGTGCTAGTAGTACCAGGCTTCATAAACGTAGGTGCTCTGTTAGCAGGTGAAGACATGCAAGCTGGGAAAAATGTATTTTTCCCTTGTATATGCCACTATTCAGAAAATACAACCATTTATAGCCATGGGGTTGGATCCAGACTTAGCCAATGGGATTATGTTAATTGTGAGTTACTAAAGTTCTATTACATACTTTAATAGAGTGGGCATTTAATAGGGTGGGCATGTCATGAGCGGAGCTGGCTAGTGCCGGAGGTCAGACTAGATGGCCCGGGAGACCCCTTCTGACTTGCTATGTTTCTATGTTACATTCAATGATTTTACACTAGGAATGACTGGATGTGACCCATTGAAACTCATTAAAATAATTAAACATAGAAATAGAAATGGAGGGGGAAGTAAATCAGTAAAATATCTTATTTCTGTAATACTAACAAATAAATTTTAGAAGGGCTTTCCCCGCCAAGTGATCACTGCCATCACACAGCAGCCCACATCATTAAAAGAGGTCAGACTCCTGATTCCTAACAATTTTATGAACCCAAGTTTAAAACCATGAAGATCCTGAAATGCATCCCATGCCTCAATTATACCTGTGCAAATGCAAATCATGTCAAAGGTAACTTCCCAAGATACAAACACACACACATGTGTATACACAGACATGCAAGCTCTTTACCATCACTTCAACATTAAAAGGCAGATTTTCTCTTTAATAACCAGCATTATTTGGATTGAAGCTACTTATGTTTTAGTCTAGCAAATTACTTATAGCTTGCTCCTGGGAAGAACTGTTCCTTCAGAGGTGCCAAAACTCCTGAGATCTTCCCTTAGAGAGCTTAGTGACAACAGCACACACGCCGTTGCTTTGAAGGGCTTTTGTCTTCCATGAAGCCCCGGTTTCCATGAAAACTACGTAAAGGTCTTTCAACAGAACGCAATCTACTGATCTGGTTTAAGAAATGTGCTTTTGGCTGTCAAGAGCAATATCACTGTTTCCTAAAAGTGCTTCCTACAATTCCATGACTCAACACACTCAGTGTAAAGCTAGACACGATGCTTAAAATGAAAGTCAAGGCACTCTGCACCTCCAGATACTTACACTTGTGCAGCGTGTACACTAGCACATGCGAAGATGGTACGCCAGCCTGATGCTTTATTGCTAATGCTGATGCATTAGAATTAGCTGGTTCAGACATTCCAAGGGAAAGTAACCAAGGATAAAACACCATTTCTTTTCCTCTTGCAGATTTTGTTTCCTCCCTCAGGAAAGTTGCTCTGCTTCCCAGGTAGCAGCCCTGCTCACTTCACTTTCTGCCATTCCTTTAGAAACTGCAGCCAAGATCTCTCCCTTTCTCTCTCTTACAAAACATCAGAACAGCCTCCAGTGTAAATGCTGCTCCTCTGAGTATTTCCTGAAGCCCACACATTCAGGGAAAGTAATGCGAAGGAGTTTTTATCCCCTTGCCTTGCCACTTACCGCTGTCAAGTCTTGGCGGTTCTGTGCAGGGCCGAATGGAACAAGCACTCATATGATTGCTTCTCTAAATTTACTAGAAAGAAAGGAGTTTGGATGCTTGTCCTTTAAATGTCTCTAAACATGGTTTGCATAGCTGGATAGCAGCTTATCTCTGCTTTTCTGCTTTTGCTTCCATACATGGATCTGTTCCCAACAGTAACTCCAAGCTGTCGAAAAGAAGCTATCTGGCAGCTTTCGGCTTCATCCAACACATAAATGATAAAAAAAGCACCACCCTTTCTGCCGGGCACCTTTTACAACCTTTAGTCCAAAGCCTCTTCTTTTTCTTCTTTCTCCTTTTTCAGATCAACTTGAAGGCAACAGATTCCTTTTCATGGCTTGTTGGAACAAATCATTTGAGACCAGTATATGCAGCCATGAAAAATTGATGCTTAGGCTTACAGTGTACTTAAAATGGCTTCAATCTCTAGTGTATCTCTTGGCCATTTGGCTGCTTCTTCTCAAAATATTTGTACAGTAATCATCAAGACCCACTAAAATATACATGGAAAAGACAGATTTTCAATGCAACCCCCTCCCCTCACAAGGTTCCCAGCAGTTTATTTCTAAGAATACCTTTTTACTTTCTTTAGAGGTCAGGGGTTTGTTTGTTAAGTCACTTGGAATGGTTTCAAGACAATATACATCATGTCAGCAATGAAGGAAGGTTAAGAGTCACATATTTGTGGAGAGCGAAAGAAATACAAAAGAGAAGTGTGGCCACAAGCTCCCAGATTAGTAACAATAGTGGTTTAGTATGAACTGGTGCTACTGCCGTTACTATATAACTTGTATTACGATGGACAAAACATGTGTGTGTGAATTCCTCCAGTGTGGGGTTCCCCAGGATACTGACACCAGGATAATGTTAAGACACAAAGGAAATTTTCCAAGTCTTTTATTTTTGTGTGTGGAAGTGTTTGGAATAACAGGGAGCAAAGGGAATGGCCACAGCCAGCCAGCAAAAAAGGAGTGGGGACAGAAGGAACCAGTGAGGCAAGCATTCAAGCTTCCCACGCAAAGTCTGAGCTGGCAAGTTAACTGCAGCTTGTCAGGCATATTTTGTGGCCAGTCAAGGGCTTGACAATCCCAATCCCAGGCAAGTGGCAAGACAAGAATGTTTATTGAATCTTCTGTTGGGCCTACCACCGTGTGTTGGGACACAGGGGTCGACAAATCCGCTAATTTCAGTTCTGCTCAGTTTTTCTTTTTCCCAATCTTAAATTTATTTCATGCTGACTTTTGAGTGTGTGTGTGTGTGTGGGGGGGGGAGGCATTTCTTCTAGTACATCCAGTTTTGCATGTACTGTTGCCTTATTAGCAATTTCCCTCACATAATGAATTTGAATGTTATTTTCACCAATGCACATATTTTTCTGTGCTGTTTCCCATATATACATATTCTTGTACTTTGCCTTTGATTGGCAAATTCCATTGCAAAATTCAGGGAAGTACAAATTTTGAAGGGTGACTCACTTTCAGGTCATGAATTCTGCTTAAGTGTGAAATCAGGAGGGCTGATGTTGATGTTGTTGTTAATTTCATTTCTATACTGTTCAATAGCTGAAGCTCTCTGAGCAGTTTACAACAATTTATGAAACTTTAACATGCAAACCGATTATTTTTTCCCATGTGTACTAAGAAGGCCTATTTAACTGGAATGATGATGATGATGATTTTTATACCACCCTGTAGACAATGTTCTCTGAGTAGATTACAAATTGTACAGGCCTAGATACAATAACTATAATAGACACAAAAATGAGAGACTGCAATTCTTCTCCAATCATCTTCTTACCTCTAGAGCTGTTTTATTTTAGGTGTAGAACAGGGATTGGGAGAAAGTAGATCTGTGGGTGTTTTAGGCATCAAGTTGCAATGTTCTTGATTGCTAGCCATGCTGGCATTGGCTTCTGGGAGTTGAAGTCCAAAACTGCTTGAGATTTACCTTCCGCCCACCCCTGCATTAAAGAGCTTCATATTTCTGACAGCCATGAGTCCGGAGTAGACTCAGCTAGGTTTGGTGATGATTCTTCAGCTTCACTACCAGAAGAGTTCACCTTAGATTCCTCATGACTGAGGCAGGGCCTCACAACCCATTCACCCAGGTCACTCACCAAGATCCTGAGAAGGGCTGCAGCTTGGTGGAAGAACCAAAGTCTCCAGTCCTTAGATTAGCTACCTGGTGCTGGAACAGGCTTCATGCTGAATCTCTGAAATACTCTTGTCAGCCACATTACACAAAGCTGGGCTTAAGGATAGTTCAACAGTTCAGTTGGGTCACAGTTAATGTGTACATACCTATTTTATACTTTTGAATCAATATATGAACTAAAATCCAGTTATCCTTCAAAATTCAGACTGAATTTTGCTATGAAGCTCTCCAAAACTGTTCACAAGAATCTTGACCTCCAGAGGCAGAGAATTCCATAGAAATGGACCTCCACATTGAAGACTTTTCTCTTAGTTGGGTCCATTTAGAAGCTCCAGGAGAATATCCTCTGATGACCTTAGTGACTGGACAAGTTGCTAAAGGAGAAGGAATTTTTTTAGCTACTGTGGTCCCAAGTTCAGGGCTTTCTACTAGTATTAGAACCTTAGACCTGGCCTGGAACAGGCACTGTAGTTCCTTCAGGAAGGGACCTGCATGCTAAAAGGTGACAAATTCAGGATTCTGATTTGTACTAGCTGCAGCTTCCAGAAAAGGAATAAGGGCAGACCCACCTGGAACACATTGCAGAAACCCAGTCTTGAGATTATAAGCAGCTCTGTCACTGTAGCCAAGTTACCCCTGCCCAGGAGAGGCCATGGCTGATGATGGTAAAGGGCACTCTGAGCAGCCTTGGTCAGTTGGGACCCCAGCAAAACTGATGGATCTAGGAGTACCCCCAAACTGTGAACCTGATCAGAGGGAGTGCAATCTCATCCATAGCAGGCAGTGGTCCTACCTACCAGCTTCTCCCGATTCATTGGTCACAGGGAGAGAGAGTTGTGTGTCATCAGCATCCTGATGGCACTTGGCTCAGACTCCTCTAATGACTGCTTCCAAAGGTTCCGTAGAGCTATTAAACAACACTGAGGACAGGATGTACCTACAGAACCCCACAGCCCAAGTATCAGTGGTCTAAGGAACAGTCCCTCAATGTTACTTTCTAAAATTAATTTTGCAGGTAAGACTGGAACCACTGGAACACAGTGCCTCCAATACCTAACCCATAGAGTTGATCCAAAAAGCTACAATGGCCCACAGTATCAAAAGCCAATGAGAGATTGAGTAGAATTAACAAGTTGCATTTCCCCAGTTCTTCTCTCACTAATGGTTATCTTTGCCTATGGCCCAATGCTAGGTGAGAGCCCCCAAGAAGTGCTCCAAGGAAGTGAAGTGATTTCCAGATGACAGAGAAAGAAGGTTGGTGAATCACAGCAACTCCCTCCACCCTTCCAGCCTATCTTGCTGCTACAAAGAGTAGTCCAGCCATCAGAGCTGTGAGGGGTCACCCCCTCCAGCTCACCACCCAGCTTAGGCAGCCGTACACACCAGACTGGCCTTCTCATTCATGATTAGATCATGAATGAGTCTACACTTCCCACACACTTAGTATATTAGAAAATGTCTATTAGGGGACAGTGCACACTGAAATGCATGTACCAATGACCTGGTTGTTCCAATATGCATTACACTAGGAATTAATTGAAAAATACATGTATTTGGAGAATGCATATGAATTTTCTCACAAACTTAAAAAAACCCCAAAATTCTCAAAGAACAGGACAAATTACATTCAAACCTGGAACAATTCCCAAAATTCAGGGTGACCCAACTGATGATTGGAAAAATGACAAACAGAGAAACCAAAATGGACAGATCCACCCTCTCCGAACTGGCCTAGCTAGACTTTTATGCACTTTTATGCATGTAGCTATTCTTGGAAGTAATAATTATATCCATTTTTATTTTTTTAAACACTCAGCTTCACATATCCATACAGCGGCTTGCAGTTTCTCATTTCCAGATGCTGTGCATAGAAGCGTGTCTCACACAAAGGCTCGGCCTCATGAGACTTTGGTGCCTGGGCTTTTCTTTAAAGGAGAGCTTGGAACAACATAGTGGTATTGGATTGTAATTTGTGCATGCAGACTTCACCACTACTGTAGCACCTATTCATTTTTCACATGCCTTGTTACCTATGGACCATGAAATTTAAGGTCAAATTACATGATATATTAAATATGTGGTAGGGAACAGACTCAGGGGTTTTTTTAAAACTCAGAAATGAGTGTACAAAGCCACAGGACTGGTGCAAACTCTCCTAACACCTGAAGTGGCAGAACATAAATATACCCTCCTGCAAAGCTGTCCCTGCGTTGGGCATCACACGTCCTCGTCCTTCGCTACCCTGAGGCTTCATTGCTGCAGCTGCTGCCTGTCCCCTGGCTTGCTTCCTAGAAAAAGTGGCCAGCACAGCTTTCCAGGCCCAGATGCCTGGCATGTGGCAGGCCTTTCCAGTCTCAATCTGTCAGTCCTTTGGTCCTGACCTGTTCTCTAAAGGGCAGCACCGGCCACTTTTCCCAGCTGATGCAGCTGTTCAGCAAGCCTGTGCACCTCTGGATTGCAAAAAGTGAGAGAGGAAGCCTATGCTGGCATTGCAGGGTTTTACACCCTTGATTTAGCGCCGCTGTGATGGGGAGGGGGTGTTCAAAAAATCAGCAGCTGGGGAAGAAGTTTGAACTACACAGGCATGGTGGTCGCAATTTAGATCAGGTTCCCACATGCTTCTTTGTGGGTAAAATGGAATAAGGGAATCAGCTGCACACAACGTGTAATTTGACACTTAGAAACCTTACTGAGTTGGAGAAAATCCTCCTAGTTGGGAATCTGACAGCATGGATGCAGAAGTGTGCTATATCCAGGTTTTGCACTATGGAGA